CAGGACTGTAAGCTGTCGTCTGTGAGGCGTGAGTGTGTTTGTTTTTAACATAGTTCACGGTGGAGCTGCCGACATAATGTGGATCCAAAGATCCATAATTGGGGTCGAAAGTGTCGATAAATGCACGGCGTTTCGGCAGGTACACCGGCTTCCGCGAGTGTGATGCTTATTTTGAGCGGTGAAAAAATAATAAGATATAATTTTATTTTTATATTTCACAATAATCTTCCAATTTAGAACTACAAGTTAAAAAAGAACTAAACACAAATAAAATACACTTCAGCTAAATACTTCTAATTTATTTTCCCAAACCACCCGGAGCCGCAAAATAAAGACTAAAGAGCCGCATGCAGCTCCGGAGCCGCAGGTTGCCGACTCCTGGCTTAGCACGTTAGCTAAATCAAGCAAACACTGTCTGCTCCAGTCTGAGAAATTAGCCGTGTTTAATGTAAATATTAACAATATGCTAGCAACAATGGCATTCTCTTACGCGATAGACGTGACCAAAAAGCGCCAGACCCCCTAGCTGGTCGCGTGCACATTCGCACCTCGACGTGCGTCCAACGCAAACTGGTCGTGCTTCAAAATATGCAATTTTTACGCGCGTGAAGCGGAAATGTGGGAGGAAGTAGGGCCAGACGGTATGTTTGCAAGATGGCAGCTGTCGAGAGAGAGTCTCCCTTCTCTATTTACTGTGGAGAGCAGAGCAGCGGCCCATCAGGTCCTCCAGAAGCGTGAGCAGTTTGCTGAGTTTCACCATTTGCTCCAGGAGCTGCGTCTGGATGACGGCCGCTTTCAGCAGTACCACCGTCTTTCCCTCGCCCAGTTTGAGGACCTGTGGCTGTGGCTACAATGTAGCTGCCATCACCAGTGTGTGAATGTGTGGATGACTGAATGTGTAAAGCGCTTTGGGGTCCTTAGGGACTAGAAAAAGCGCTTTACAAATACAGGCCATTTTAATACGGTAGTCCTTTATTGATACTGTGCTAATATGTGCTAATTTGAAGTCCCAGCGACTTCCCCACAACGGCTCTGAGCCACCCACAAAACTCTAAAGAGCGTTCCTGTCTTTTTAAAATTTTCTTGATAAATGGAGCTCAAAATAAACTAACCTCTCTTTATTCTCTTAAACAATTGGTCTTCACTATGTTCCTATAGTAGTTTGTATTTTCATTAGTATAACATGAGATAAATCCTACATGTGTCAAGTTGTGTGCCAATATTTGCTGTGTAGTAGAACTGAGACATTAGTCATTACAAAGATTTATTGGAAATAATATTAAAGTTCTCGGTAGAGAAAGCAGCTGGTGTCGTACAGCTCCGGGTGGTTGGCCACAGCGTTGATGATCCCCCATATTGATAAATGGCTTTGGCTGGACCTGCCCCTTTAAACTAGGTCAGAGCATCACGTCACCAGGCTCCTGATTGGTTGTCGCGGCGCGACTTGACGCTGGAGTTCAGATTTTTCCAACTCGAGTGGTAGACACGATTATCGCGAATGCACAAAATGCAACACACAAACTGCAGCGCATATTTTACTTCTGCTTCAAACTTACTTCTGCATGTTTTCCCGACGCAAATCTGCTTCTGAAGTTTCGCGGGATCTCCAGTCGCGCTTCATCGCACTCCTCCATTGACTTTACATGTAAACCTGACGCTCTGGTCGCGTCTATCGCGCTCAGTGTGTACGCACCGTTATTGATAGTGATACAGTTTTACTGAAGACTAAAACGGCGTTACTAAAACATGAAGTTATCTGTGATTGGTAAGTGAAGACGCTGTTTACGCTTGATGAAGTCGATGTCGCTCAGCGCTCTCCTCTGATGCTCAAAGTTCGCCGTGAAGTGATCCATGTTCTCGTAGCCGTGCTGGACCTTATCCAGGTGAGACGTGTCGGAGCCCTCCATGATCCTGATGGCACAAAACGGACATCAGTAACAACAAGGAAGAGCAAACAAAAATATTTATTAAAACAACCATGAGAAACAGACAACAAACGAGATACAGAAACAAAGCAAGCACAAAGATTCAACAAACAGAGGAAGCTCACTTCTGCAGCAGAGGTTTGGCCATCTGTAAACGAGAAACGAAGGCACACTTTAATAATCATTAACAAGTGTTACTGCTGAAGCTCCATGCTAACAGCATATGCTAACAGCATATGCTAACACCCTATGCTA